AGCGGCCTCAGGAGCCGGCAGGTCCCACGCCGCCGCCGCCTCTAAAGCCGTGTCTCTGTGCTCCAGGCTAAAGCTGTCTCCCAGCCCTGCGTCCCGGGTCACCGTGTCCAGAGCCTCGTCCAGCAGCCGCAGCGTTCAGACGGCGCGGGGGAAGAGGAAGCGCATGGAGGTGGAGGAGCAGGAGGCCAGCAGCTCCGTGTCCGTCTCTCACTCCGCTTCGGCCACCGGACCCGTCTGCATCGACGAGGTCGACACCGACGGGAAGTTCGTGCGTCTCCATAACAGCGGCGATGAGGTGAGCTCCGTGAACGCTGCTCTGGTTCTGGTCCGGACTCGCTGGTACCACAGTCAGGTTCTCTGTTCTCCAGGACCAGGCCATGGTGGGCTACGAGATGGTGAAGAAGGTGGGAAACCTGAGCGCCACCTACAGGTTCACCCCCAAATACGTCCTGAAGGCCGGCCACAAGGTGACGGTAAGGGCGCCGCCGCCGCCGCCGCTCCGTCTGCAGACCCAGAGCAGGACTTAGGCGGCTTTCTGTGTGCAGATCTGGGCGTCGGATGCAGGAGTGAGCTCCAGGCCTCCCACAGACCTGCTGTGGAAAAACCAGACCTCCTGGGGGTCTGGAGAAGATGTCAGCGTGCTGCTGATCAGCCCCCAGGGAGAGGTGACGCTCTCTGATTGGCTGTTCGCTCGGCTTCCATGAATTCAGGATTTAAAATGACTTTTTGTTTTAACAGGAAGTGGCAAAGAGAACCACCAGATACCAGATCGCAGAGGAAGATCAGGATGAGGATGACTATGGAGTGGAGGCCGTGGAGAAGGACGTCCAGCAGCAGGTCAGGATTCACTTTGGTTGGAAGATCTTTGGGTCCCACCTGTTCCCAAAGTTTGAACTCAAACGTTTGTCTGACGTAGAAATGAATGTTTAGCAGGGAGAACCAGTAACGCACATCTAGAAATGATCTATAAACGGGAAGGTCAAAGGTCAGTCTGAAGACGGCAGCCTGACACCAACATGACCTCCACTGGTCAGATCACTGAGCTACACCCACCGCTCCTCACTGGGGCGGAGACTCATCCCACATGGAGGATCCCCCATCCGTTCCCCCGGGCCTCTGCCCGGTCCGTTCCCCCCGACCTCTGCCCGGTCCATTCCCCCCGACCTCTGCCCGGTCCGTTCCCCCCGACCTCTGCCCGGTCC